GTGGGGGGGGGGGGGTAAATTCTTGAGTCTAGGGTTTACGAACTGATTTCAAATAAAGTTGCCTTCTTTTAGTTGTTTAATCCTCCAAAAGTGCCATGATAATTAATTGGGTTTGATCAGTGATCAATTTGATTTACTCACTCATTGCTTCCCTTATTGCGTTTATCCATTTGTATGTTTTTTTATCCATTTATTCTCGTTATTATTAGTCTTATGCAAGATCTTGGACTCCTTTTAGAAGGAAAAAAAAATCAATGAAATTAAGTTGATTTTTTTTTTGTCTTTTTCCCTTTTTTTCTTTCTTCTTATTTTCTAAACATCTATTACACATTTGCAGACCATCATGGATCTCGGATTATATAGAGCTGCACAAGAAGGTGATCTTGGTGCTTCGAAACAACATATTCAACATTTCAGCACTGACTCGACGCCAAACAGAAATACTCCACTCCATGTTGTTGTTTGTTTCAATGACACCTGGGAATGCACGGAAGAAATCCTCAAGACGAATGAATCCTTGTTGTTTGAAGTGAATTTCGAGGGAAATTCTGAGTTTCATATTGCAGCAAGAAATGAGAGATCTACACCTGGATCAACAATGACAATATGGGCAAAGCGTTCAACTGAGGATGTTGAATTAGAAACAAAAATGGGAATACTTCATTTCATGATGCAATAATGGGGGATCATCCTGAAATGGTTGTAATGATGCTTCAGGATTACCCGGAAATAACAAATATAGTGAAAAATTCATTGAAAACTCCACTATTTCTTGCTGCTTATTGGAGACGAATTCAGTGTATGATACACATATTGGAATATTGCCCCTCGCCAGCTTATACTGACCCAAAAGGGAGAACTGCTTTGCATGTTGTGGTAGCTATATGTGACAGGAAAGGTTAAAGGGTATTTGGTGGGGATTAAAATTAGATTTTTTAGTAGATTGTGATAGAAATTTTTGAAATGTGTGGTTGAAAAGTTGTGAAACCCATGAAAGATGTGGTTGATAAAGATTGTTTGATTAGTCTTAAAATTGAGTTAATTTCATTTGTGGTCACTTTACTTTGCTGCATTCTGCATCATTCAGTGGCGTTGCTGAAAGCCATAACCAACATTCTATATACTTCTTTAGCTTTGCTGCACTCTGCATCCTTCACTGTAGAATTAGCTGTTGTATTCATCATTTCAGCACGGCTTGCTGCACTTTGCTCTGCTCACTCGTGATTTTGATAATTGTATAAATCGCAGAAGAGTTGATAAAAAGAATCCAACTTCAATAAAATGAGGTTGATGATTTTGGATGGAGTGCTCTCCATTATGCTGCACAACATGGATCCGGCATTGTGGCACAAGTACTACTACAGGCAGATGAATCTATTGCATACATAGTTGCACAAAAAGATGATAATTAGACAGCTCTGCATTTGGCAACATGTGAGGGAAATATAGAGTTAATGAGAGAGATCTTAAGATACTGTCCTAGTTGTTGGGGGATGGTCATCAGTGATGGTGAGAATGTTCTACACATTGCCGTGAAATTTGAAGAAGAAAAGGCACTCAAATTTATTTTGAAACAATCTTGGGTTGTCAATCTGATAAACCAAAAGGATGTAGAGGGAAACACACCTCTCCATGTATATGCTGATACTGTCAATTTCCTAGGCGCTGATCTTGTGAACCACCCACAAACTAATCAGAATGCTGTGAATAAGAAAAATATGACTCCCCTTGATATGATAACGAATTCTGATTTTTTTCGGTAAGAAAGGTAAAGACAGTCTTTCTCTTTTTAATTCTCTAGTTTTCTACTTTCACCATGGAATATGGAAAATAAGATATTTCCAACAAAAGGTCAACTAGTCCATTGATGGCTTGTCTTTGATTCAACTCTGTAACAGGATTTTATAAAGAAGGAATTAGAAAGAAAAGATGCTCTCATCGGAATGAATCTAGACAATCGTGATTATAGATCACGAAAAATGAAAACATATGAGCAAAAGAAAAGGATGCTTCTGAGAGACTTTAGAAAAATGGGTGAAACTCAGATGGTAGTGGCAGCTCTCATAATGACAATTACATTTGCTGCCAGATTTACCATTCCTGGAGAGTATACTAAGAAAGATGACATGTCAATTTTATCAAGAAAAATGGCTTTTAGGGTCTTTGTCATAAGTGATACATTAGCTTTGATTATTTCTGGTTGCACCGTTATTTTCTACTTAGCTTCAGTCTTGAGCAGGCTAAAGTCTGCACGTTGGTATTTTGCTGCCACAATCAGTACTGGGCATCATGGTAATCGTCATCTGCCCTTTACGATTTCTCGTCCTCTATCGCACAATAGTATTCTCAGGCAGCGATTACAACTTGTAATATTTATAATTTTTCTTTGTAAATATTACTATTAAATGAAATCATGGATTTAGATACAGTCCTGGAAATGCTTATAGAAGTTTCTACAGATTTGTTGTGGAGTTTATGCTATCATTTTATGAAGGTTATTTTTGCTAAATTTTTCAAGGATGAAGATGTTCAAAAGTAGGGCCAAACTATTTATGAATTGTGACACATTTTTGACAACTTGATTCCTTTCATACCTTCAGTAGTACGCTTTGTTTGATTGAATTTGATGAAATTAATAATCTTTCAATATATATATGCGCACACAGAAATAAATAGTTTTTCTCATCATCTAAGTTCAAATACTCCTTCAGTCCACAATTCAACATTTTCAAACTCAAAAGAACGTTTAGAAACCATTCAAAAAGGCGATTTCAAATCCAACAAGCCTCAAAAATCTTACAACATTTGTACTAGCTTTGCTAATAAGAGTGCGCGCACCTAAGACGAGAGCTCCATGTATCTCATTTATAACCAAGTCAGAAGAAAAAAAAAACCAACATAGCCCAAAACAAACCATATAAAAAAATCGAAAATAAAAACATTAATGCTTCTGCATTTTTGTTTTTCTGCCGGGGTACTTTTAAGTTTGACCCAGTCAACGGACCTAAATTCCACTTTAACTTTCAAAATCATGAATATTATGACATTGGTCTCTTATATGGTAAAAGACAAAGATGTCCTTAAATGTTTTGTACAATTGCAAAACAATATATTGTTGAAATGACTTTACTACCCTTTTAGTTAATAATTGAAAACGAAACACTTTCCCACTTATAAAAACTTCAAAACGAGCTTCCAACACAGGAAAAACTCTCATCTTTTCATCTGCTTGAACCTCAAAATCTAGAAAAACTTTGAAACGTTGAAGCCGGAAATTTTTTTCATATCAATTACTTCAAATCGGTAAGTACATTTACACATGTTTAATTTCATTTTCAGTAAATTAGTAAACGTTTAAATAGAGAAATTTTATGTCGACATAGTAGTTAGCATAAATTTTTTTTAACAGATCTTACCTATCAAAAAAAATTGAACAGATGTATAACTTTAGAACCGTATTCTCCTGCGCAAAAACAGTCAAACAGTCGAAAACAGTCTGACTACTTGGCTGTTAACAGCCAAATAGTCGGCTATTTAATAGCCGACTGTTGGCTGTTTAATAGCCGAACAGTCGCCTATTGTCGGCTGTTAAACAGTCAATTAACCGACTCTGCACTGATTTTTTCTTATAATTAATAAATGAAGTTGATTAAAACCATTTTCTCATGCAGATATGATAATCCCCGTGTGTTATTTCGGTGATTTCGAATTGAATGAAAATAATCGGTGGGAATGGAGATGGACGAGTGACATACATGGTTGTATTGCAATTCCCATAACAGAGAGACACCATACTTAGAAATGTACCGCAATTTGCAAAATAAGCTGAATGTCGATCAATCTCAATACGATATGCAATTGAGATATCTATTCAACGGTTATGGGGATTCATCCATTCCGATGCCACCGGTATTCGTTACTAATGATGCTGAATTGAATAAAATGTATTGGGCTCCGACTGTTCTTGGTGTGACTTTAATTACGAAAGATGTTATCGAAGGTGAATGCGAACATTCAGATACGGCGGATAACAACGATCGAGGTTTTTGGGAGACAGTGGAGATAGTTCCTGTGGATGATGTGGGTATTCTTGAGACTGTTGCTTCTGATCGTGATGTCGCTGTTACACGCAGAATTTCGTCGACAATTGAAGACAATAAGAATATAAATGAGTTTACAAATGAGAATTTGATTGCTTTATCCCGACAGAGACACGAGCCGGGTGGGAGCTCACAGGTTGGAACAAGTGGACCGTCCTCCAATTCTTCCCGTGTGGCTCCCGATGATGAGGACTTGCAAGTCGAGCAACTGTTTTAAACCAAGAAAGATTTGCAGGAAGTTGTGCACCTGCTGGCATGAAAATATAACTTTGAGCTCAAGGTAAAGAAATCAAACAAGTCATTGTTGACAGTTGCTTACGTCGAAGATAGTTGTAATTGGCGCTTGAGAGCAACTAAGATGGACACGAATGAGTGCTTCGTAATTCGCAAGTATTCACGGGATCATATTTGCGAAGTGGAAATTCTTCAAAACGATCACAGGTAAACTCGAGCATGGTTTATTGGTCGACAAATAATGCACAAGTATCAGGGTCCATGGACGATCTACAGAACTTTGGACATCATTAACGACATCCATCGAGAGTACGGAGTGGTCATGAGCTACCAGAAAGCGTGGAAGGCCAAAGAATGTGCGTTGGAGGATTTAATGTGATTGGCTGAAGAGAGCTATGCTAAATTGACTAGGTATTACCATAACATAGGGACAACTAATCCTGACACGGCATTTTTTATTGAGACGGGGGGCGATAATTGTTTTAAGTATTTCTTCATAGCTCTCGGACAATGTATTCGGGGTTTTCGAAATGCAATGTGACCCGTAATTCTAGTTGATGGTACAACTCTGAAAGCTAAATATCAAGGCAAATTAATTATTGCTACATGTCAAGATGCCAACATTCAAATTTACCCTATTGCATTCGGTATAGTCGACAACGAGAATGATCTGTCCATGCGTTGGTTCTTTTCTAAACTGAGGAAAGTGATCGGGGAAGTCGAAAACCTTGCATTTGTAACCGATCGGGGACAGTCTATAATAAACGGCATCACTGAAGTTTTTCCCGTGGCACATCACGGGTATTGCATATATCATATACAAGGTAATTTGAAGAATAGGTATCGGGGCACAGGCATCGTTTCATTGTTTAGGAGAACAGCCGAAACTTACAGTGCTGAAGAGTGTAATAAGTTCATGCTCGAGATAGGAAGTAAATCATTACCGGCGTTGGAGTATCTGACGAAGATGGGGATCGAACATTGGGCGCAATCATACTTTCCAGGACGTCGATACAACATGATGACGTCGAATAACGCGGAGTCTCTCAGGATCGACAGTTACCAATTCTCGAAATGATTGAGAACATTTATAACAAGTTACAACAGTGGTTTCATGACCGACGTGCGGCATCACAGAGTTGCACTAGCTTGTTGGCCCCAGCTCAAGAGGAGAAACTGTTTAAGGCGGCAGAGGTTGCGAGGAAGTTGAATGTGGAAGCACTAGATGAGTTTCGCTTCTCCGTGCAATGTGCACGTAATACGACATATATGGTGGATTTGACCGATAACACATGCACTTGTACGAGATTTTAGTTGGAGAGTTTTCCATGTGAGCATGCAGTTGCGGTGGCCATGTATCGAGGCTTTGCTGCGAGAACGTTATGCTCTTTGTATTATACGACTGAGTCTTGGAGAACAGCATATGCCGATGCTATATTTCCTCTGCCGAATGAAGCCGAGTGGGAAGTTCCCGAGCACATTCTCCCATTTCATAATTTGTTACCACCAGCAGTTGAACCGCGTGGTCCTGGACGTCCAAGTACATCTAGAATACCATCTACTGAAAAGTTTCCTCGACCGCGTAGGTGTGGCCGGTCCAGAGCCGTAGGGCATACTCGGCAATTTTGTACCAGTCAAATTCCCCTAAATGACGACTAGACAGGTACGTGAAATGAATAATATATCCTTTTACTTTATACTGTTTAATATTTGTTCTTTATAAATCTTCAATATTCAATATTTATTCTTGATAAATGGTATTTATAATGATCCATATGAAAAAAATAGTTTCATACTCGACATACGTGTAAAATAACAAAAAATAATTAAATTTCCAATTTGAATGTTATATACATTGAAAACAAATTTACAATTATTTCATAATTACAAAAATAATTAAATTTACAATTGAAATGTTACATATATATATAAATGAAATTTACGGGTCAGCATTAAATTCGAACAAATCACATACTAGCTTCTTTCTCCAGTTCTGTATCCACGACTGGTTGATTCCATCAACCTTATATCCTATATTTAAAAAATCAACGTACTTAATGGCAACTATGCCGTAGTCGCCGCTGCAATTGAACAAGAATGAATCAGTTCAGTACTGTGTAAATAAAAACTAAATCTGAAAGATGAAAACAACAAAGTTCAAACACTTACCTTATGGACTGTCGCGCTGTCGTCGTGTTCCGAAAGATCCATAATCTGTCCTGTACATTTATCCCCGCTCGTCTGGTCATCATAGGAACAATTACAGCCACGGACTCCAGGTTTGCTCCAACTGGCCTTGTGTCAAACATGAATGATCTGGGTGGTACACATATATAGTCGAGTCAGCAAAAACGATCTCCAGCGTAACATAGTGTTTATTGATGCACACTGAAATGTACATATGTGTACAACCCTCCCATGATTTTCCCCGACACTCGGTGACAGTCCTATCACCCACTCGAGCTTATATTCTGGCACCGTGTACTCGTTACCCATAAGTTTGAAGGACTGATACTCTATGGTAACGGCACGCAGGAACTCGGTGTTTAATATGACTCGACCATGGACATCAAATGATTTTGGATGTCTTTGAGCTTGATTTCATAGCAAGTCCATGGCCAGGTCGATGTGCTGCAGCAGGAAACACCAAAAAAGTATGAGTTATTCATTTAATAAACACAAGGTCACATATACATAAAAAACACGAAATGAACAGTTCACTTACATCGTCAGCGAGCCAAGCTCCCGTAGTGGTGATATCGTGAAAAGGGTCCGAGACCGTCCTTTGACCTATCGTGTGGCTAACTCTGTAAAAAATAGGAAAATGTTAAAATAAGCGTAGATGAATTAGCGTACAGTGCTTTATTAAAATCATACAATACTTACCCGGGGATAATTCTCCTCTACTCTGTCTCGAACGCTTTCCACTTGGCATTATCCACCTCTCTGAATAAGTTCGGGTACGTCCCATCGATGAACGTCCTCCTCTTGGCCTCAGCCGTGAAGGGAGAAATAACATACTGTGACGGCACTCTCAACCTCTTGCCGACCACCTGCTCGGTCTCGTCAACAGCATGTCTCTTACCCTCAATCA